GGATCGCTCATGTGCCTAACTATATGAAATGAACGTAGCTAAGTTCCTTATGTTGCCTGATTGCAAGCGAATCGAATTAACATTTCGAACTATATTTTCTAATATTTTATTATAAAATACTATATTTCCCCAAAGTAATTTCAAATCAATTCACCTCTGAACCCACTTGCACGTATTTGTGTTTAGTCTTACGATGAGTATGGAATCTAATGACAGGCCATAGTTTCCTTCCTCTGATATAAACTTTAGGTAAATAGAGTTATATTTAACTGAATTAAACATCTCATCGTTTATAAACTAGAACTTTATCACATGATTTGTATTGATTGCGCCGACATCAATCTAATAAATCCATAATTTCCTGATTCTATTTAACATTATTATTATCAAACGCAAATAACAGTTATACATTTAAATGAATAGACTAATTGCTTTACTCTGTTCGTTTGTTATAAATTTCTATTTATCAGAGATGAAAGATGATTACGAAAATTCTACACACATGGATAATAATATATCAGCATGGAATCGAAAATTGAATGAAGTTATTTCTACCGATCTATCAAGCAAAACTTGGGAAGGTCCGTTTTATTATGATGTATTCATTGGCAGTATTATTACTTTACCATGTGTAATAAATGACAGTAAACTTGAAAACATTTACATTGCAAGGAATACCACAACTAATGAAGAGAAATCATGGGCATTATTATGGATTCATAACACATGGACAAACGTTATTGATCCTTGGTTAGGTGATGGGAGACGCAGTTACAACCCATTAGATAATAATCGTTGGGAAATACCCAACACTGATTTATCAATAAGTCAAGCATATTTGTCAATTATAGATATTGATCCAACTGATGTTGGAGTTTATGCATGTGTTCTGGTTACCTATCCAATTCAATTTGGTTATTCACCAGTTGATTTAAAACAAACTCAACTATTAAGTATTCATATGGTACGAGTTCACTCTAACTTTATAGTAGCACCAGAATGCCAAGATGATGATGATGATTTGGAGAATGGAAATTATTGTAAAACTGGATTTGAACCATGGAGATTTAATGTTTATTATCCAATTGATGGATGGGCAAACAGTATCTTATTCCATGGTAGGCCAAGTCTATAAATGGTTATTAAAATGTATTCATTATTTTAGTGAATTTGGATTATGGCTAGGAGTGCAGTCTAAGAAATGCATTTTTTCTGGTTTGCGATTCGTCTGTTGGCAGGACGTCCATTTTAGTGTTGATGTTCACTTTGAGATTCGATCCCAGAAGTTGCCATTTCAAATGTCAATAAATTACTCATCGAAATACTAAGTCCACATAGGCATTAGCTTGTCCAATTGGTGTAAATTTAATTACAAGGGTATTTGTTTTCCCACTTTTGACAGGAAAAACTGCAATTTATTAGTCTCTATTGCCATATGTGCATCCTGAACAGATAGCCTAGAGATTATCAGTCGCATAAAATAGTTATCGTTCATCTAAAAATAACTCAGTGAATTTGAAACAAATAAATCCACATAGAATCCGAGTATTTCAAATCAATGGTGACTAGCTGATATCAAGACTACGATCAAGTCACAACTTCACGTTTGTTTGTACATATCAATAAGCTCGGTGTGAATTGGATTACAGAATTTAATACAGTCGTTTAAAAATTTGTAGGTTAAGGGATGGGTCTTTTTGCCTTTTTTTGTAACACCCTGATATTTTATTCATAGCTCTCATGACGCGCGATGTCTCATGATGATACTAATACACAAACTTCATATATGCAAACGTCAAGCCAGCTACTAAGTGAAAAGATTAAGAGTGGCCCATAACATGCACTTATCATTTAAAATATTTTTGATTGATGCAGCGTGGGCTTCTCATTTGATCAATTTCGATTAACCCATTGTATCGATAGCAATTTGCGTATTCATAAAAGTTTTACACGGATAATTTATTTATGATGGGAAAAAGATGTTAACCCTCAATTTATGAGACTATTACTGACATTCAATAAGACAGAATTAAACAAACCAAATCAAAATTAATTATTGTATCATTATGTTTTGAATTATTAATAATAAAAGGGTTCTATAAGAGAAATCAAAAATAATACCTTTGTTAATTAGTGATTTTTTTCAACTTGGAATGGAAACTGAATGCAACAGTAGTTGGAATCAATAACGACAAAATAGAAAGATTTGAATGAGAGAATTTTAAACACAATCCGCACTATGACCTAAAACCACCCAGAGAACCAATGAAAGAAACAAAATGAGAACGCTCAGATCTGTTTCGTCCTAGTGGGGGATTCATCAACTGGTGGACTTAATTTACCAACAGATGAGTTTCCCGATGAATAAGTCTCTATCCCATCACACATACAGTCTCGGTAGGACTATAATCAAAACAGGTAAATATAGATATTGGCAATAATTGTTTCTAAAATACAAATAAATACGATTAGTACAAAAACGCAAAATAGTAGTTAATTACAAAAGGAACTATAGCCACACGCCCACCGAATGGGATTAGGGACACAAGAAAATGAATCCATGAAAGGATTACTCATGTTTAATAAAGGGCTGGTACATTTTTCTGAGATTTAAATTAAAAAGGGCAATAATCAATAACTAATCTGAGGTTAAATGAGTTTTAAATACCAGGCGTTTAGCAGAAAGATTATTAACTGCTTCACAGTTGTTCATCGAGATTAACATCAACTATTCTGTATTCCATAATTTTCATTAGTTTCCCAGTTGACAGCGATTTGTGACGAAAATGAACTTTAGGATGTACTTCCTAACATAATAACGGGAGAAATGATATAAAATCAAACAGCAGTCACAAAAGATTTACAGTATTGTCATGAGAGAAATATCCTATAACGTACACACCTATCAAATTGAATAGCTAAATCCAAAGGGTAGGAAGGCGTTTTAAAAAGTGCTTAACCAAATTTGTGTTAGCCTTCAGTAGTAAAAAGTAAACTAACCATCTCTTCATTTTTTTCAGGTAATGACAATATTCACATGTAATGATTGGTCATAAGGATGCTGGAGAGACATGCACAAAACGTATTTAAAGCGCTTTTCAGCACAAATTATGTTAAAAATAACAAATCATTTCAAAGACAGTAGGGTATTCGACAGGAGAAAGATATTCACGGATAGTTAGTGTCCAAAATTATAAAACAGGGATAAATGAAAATTACTTTTGAATTGATTTTTTTTATATATTTTCAGTATCTGACCTTTCTTAATTTTATTGGAAATTTCAGCTCCATGTAATGCAGATATTTTTCTAACAGCTGTAACAATGAATAATGTAGATCCGACATTTTGGAGTATTGGTTGGAAATTCATACCATATGGTCAAAGTGATGATACAAAGGTTGTTGAAATGAATGAAAACTCTAATATTCAACTGTTACAACCATCTTATAGATATCTTGAAAATTCTCCCATTAATCTATCATTTGTTAAATTCAATGAAAATGTAACTAATCTAGATAAGCATAATTTATTAACAAAACAGATTTATGCATCAACCTATTGGAAGGCTCATTGGCTTGTTTTAAATAGTTCCATGAAACAGAAATCAGGAGCATGGCAGTGTTGGGTTCAAAGATCAATTCATGAAAATCACGCATTCACAACTGGCATTCCCCATATTCGTTGGTTAACAAATGAAGTACACGTGAAAATTATACCTAGAAAATATACTTATCAATTGGAGCTAATAATCGAATTATGGCGTATTATTGCCCTAATTATGGCTCCATTAGATATTTTTCTGTTATTCATACTATTCACTGTTGGGTGGTATTTAGCCCATTATCATAAAAGCACGTCTAAGTCGAGGGGGAAATCAAATAACCTACGCAATGTAAAAGAAAGTTCAACACAATTCATTCAAGAGCAGCAAAATTCTGATGAATCTGAACAAATATTTATACCAACTCAGTATGTAGATGAATTTCTTCGAATTTCTGGTATTGAATCGTACAAAGAATATGTTATTCGTAGAAATAAGAAAAGGACCGTTAAATAATCGTATGGGTTTTAATTGAGAATACTTTGTGTAGAGTTAATATATGAAAAGAATCATCTATATTACATAGAACACTGGTAAATTGTTAGAAAGTTGGTGAATCTAACAAGACATTATATTTAGTATTAAGCGTTTACTTTTATCATACTCAGCTGCACTTTCTATGGTTAATTTTTTATTCTCATTGATATTATCTTGTAAATACCTTTCGATCTTACCATAAACTATACATTGATGCATTGTACTGTACTATACATCTGTGAAAAAAAGTACTACAAGTGAATAATTTAGGATGTTTTTCACAAACTTGTAACTTGTCGTCAGACTATCAATAAAGTAGCACTCAGGTTACACGCTGAGTTATAGGCAATAAAGATGAATTGATTTAGAGACCATTTTTTATAAATGAGTAACCGAGATTCAGATCTGATAAGCTAAACTAATCAAGCACACAGTAAATCTCTATACTTTTAATATTCTGATTCAACAAAGTAAATGAAATTACATTGTAACCATGCATAAAGTAGTAATCCTTATATTAAAGGGCTGTAAATTATTATGCATAATTAATAAAGTTTTGTAGAGCATGACCATAATAATTTAGATACCAACAGATGAGCGCAATGTTCACCCCACAAAGGATGTTAGAATGTCATATTAATGCTAATCAAGGATGTTTCGCTAGTGTGTATTTTATACGTATTTACAGTAAATACTGTCTTAATTGCTTTAATCTCAATAACTTCCTTACTCGGTAAAGACCTATGACAAAATGTGTGTATATCCGACGTATTATAATTAAAATTAGGTAAACAAAACGTTGATCAGTAGAAATGTTTTTCGATGAAAAATATTTCTTAATGATATTCAATTCTAAATCCAATATTATCAATCCTATCACAATAAGTATTTACAAAAACAAGAAGAAAATCCTTTTTAGTATCCCTGTAATTTTAGGTGTTAAATTGGTTTATTTTCCAAATTATTGTTACATTCTCCCATTCTAAGCCAATATAGTAACTTGATACAACTATGTAAACAGTAAAATTTACAATCATAAATCTCTTAAATTAAACTAGTAATAAATACTTTTTAATAAAATGTGACAGTATATCAAAATACTTCAGTTTGTTAGTTACAGTGAAGAATTAATGGATAGAATTCATTTAGCTAAAATAAGCGATATAACATAACTGTTTAATTGCTTCAATAGCTATTTAATATAAATAAAACAAATGATACAATATAGATAGAAGCATAGTTTATTTTCATTTAATGATTCTCTAAAACAAATGAAATTGACAATAGATGCATCTCAATGAAAATTGTAAAGAGAAAGAGAGAACTAATTTTCTTTTACACTTTATCATAGTAATAACGAAAATATAAATAGATGGTTAAGAAATGTAAATTTGTACAATGAAATAAGTCAAGTCATTTTTATGTACACATACACATACACATAGAAATGTATCATGACGACGATGTTAAAAAAAAAACACAGTAGAATTTGTTAATTTTAAAAATTCAACAATGTTGGTTTAATGTCAAGTTGTAAATTTTTCTCCCATGTAGATAATAGTTTAAAAACAAAATCTAATTAAGGTTATAACAATCAACGATTTTTTATTTTTAAAACGTATCTGGAAAATTAGTAACAGAGATAAATGACAAATTATTATGTGTTTTTTTTTAGATTTTACTGATAGTTACCACAGTGACAAGACTAAGATCACTTCATAATTTAAACTATGAAAATCCTACAAACCCTATTGTACTAATAATGATTATCTGTTCACTAGTGATTAGATTAAAGTCCTGAAGTTCTGACGAGAAGTTGTAACTAGTAGAGTTTAACCATGTTGGATGTGAAACAGTAATTCATCACAATCAATGGATGGGGGTTACGTGATATCGTAAATTGATTAAAGTTAGGCATGTATAACATTGGTTGCCGACACGGTAATCTAGAGGTTAGACGTTCACATGCGAAACCGAAAGTTATAGGTCCGACTATCGCAAGCAGAGACAGAGGGGTTTTATGCTAAGGCGAAACGGTCATCCATCACTTTCAATTTTCAATGAAAGCTTAATTAAGATTAGTTTATGGATTAAGCATTGAAAAGGCGTATATATGTCTACTAGAAAATCTTCACCTAAATGTCAGAATTATTAAGATTTCTGTCCAAAGAAACGAGTATAAAGTTTTCTCTGTTGATCGATAAATAAAATGTAAGTGATCCTTTCATTTGTTCAACAAAGAAAGAAAGATTAACTGAAGGCTATACAATCAATCTGTTTATGTTCGAATATACAACGTTAACAACCATTAGAATAATATAAAAATCTGGGATATAAATATATTCATATTGTATTATGCTTAATTGTAAAATTAATGACTGTTAACATATTGATACGAGATACGATAGAGCTAAACACTATAAATAACTAGCTGAAAGTTAAGAGTTTAGACCAATGAGGCAAGTTCTACAACATTTAACACGCACAGAACTTTACCCTCTATATCATTTTATAATTTAAAACAATAAATGTGATCCAAAAAAACACCAGTGATATGAATTACATTTTTAGCATAACCTGACACTTTTTAATTATTCATCTAATTAAATGAATGCTGGATACGCGAGTAGAATAGATGTTCTGTCTTGTAGATCCAACACAAGTATAATACAAGCTGTTCGGTAAGCAACAGATAACAGAATAGTTTAGTAATTCCAGAGCGATTGGAATATACTTTAATTTCAATATTACATGAGCCTACAAAGTGAGATTAGACATTGACGTTATGCTTAAACTACACTGACTCATTCAAAATGTATCAAACAAGGACTACTAAGTTTAACAAACGGTTGAAACGTTGAATTTTCTAGAACTAATAATAGATACTTCCAATAACACGGTTCAATATATCAGATATGAGATGCGAATTCCTTTATTCAGTAGTCATCAACACTACATTTTTATGGTAATTTTACAGGAACCTTGTGAACGGTTTTAACCGAGTGTGAAGCGATGATAATTTAAAGTTTATAGAAAAACCGTAATTTTAACGATTTGATTACAGGTTGGAACACCGTACCACATTTATTTAGATTTGTATCATTATATTCTCAGAAAAATTGTAGTTTAAAGTGGAGTATATGAACTTCTAGGTAGTTCTTAAGTTGCATACTGAAAAAATTATTCACTTGCTAATAAATTTTAAAAGACCTTAATATTTCAATTCAAACAAAATCCCAAATATTTTTTTAAGCAATAAAGGATATCTATCACTTAGCAGATCGAATGTTCCAGTTCCAACTCTAGTTGGATTCCCTAGAATGATGTTTTCCGTAACACCTAGACAATTTGAAAAACAAACCAAAAGTTAAATAAAATAAATAACAAAGAAAATATGAAATCATAAATTGAATTAGTAAATTCGAAATAAGAAAGGAGCAGTTAATGAATGGATGAATGAAATGTGACCAAAAGGTTATAATTTTTGCTACGCTAACAGACAAATCATGGATTGGAGGCCCACTCCATCCACTTCGGTTCTCTACGAAGCGTGTAGTATCATCACCCTTCATATAAGTAGTGTGGCAAAAAACTAAGTATATAAGCACGAACTTCATAAACGAGCTGTATTATTTATAAAAATCAATTTACTTGCTCTGCTGAATACAAACTAATAACTTGGCAGAGATACATTTACAGGGTTAATGGGTCTTAGGTTCAACATTCCAATCAGTGTTTTAATACTAACTTAACCTCCGAAACACTCTCAACTAAATAAAGAGGATTTTCTAAACTATCAAAACATGAATGAAAGCAATTAAATCATAAAAAATAAATGTATTTAAATATAACACCCACCAGTCAATTGATCATCTTGACAATGATAGGCAGCTTCAAACAAATGATCACCAGTTCGTTCAAACTATAAATGAAAAGGAATCAATAAAAATTTCTATTGGACAATGAGGATTTCAAAAGACTAAAGTCGAGTTTAACGAGGACAATACTATCGAAAAACATCTCAAGCTAATGTGAATGAAGATTACTGGAACTGATTTCCATACTTTATTGTGCACGAAATCGAATACTACTTATTACCTTAAAGTAGATTGTAAAAACCATGGATTTTTTAGAATGACATTTAAAATATACATCAAAGAAATGAAAAGTAAAATAACACTCTTACAGAAGCTAAACAAAGTACACTATTTTTCGCTTTCGCCATTCCAGTTCGCTGATAACCGCATACTTCACCCTAAAAACATAAAAACATTATGAACAATTAGTTCTACATCTGAAAATAAAAGCATTTGACAGCAAAGTGAATAGTATTAGGAGAATTGTTTAGAATTCTAATTCATATATATATATATATATATATATATATATATATATAAATCCCTTGCATTCATGTAGCAAGCGATATTACTAGGTTTTTCTTTCTATTAGTAGGGACTTCTGGGTTTCATGTAGTTTTCGTGTCTTTTCAACATAGAGAAAGTGAATGATTGTCTATTGTCAAATTCGAGTGTAAAATTTGTTACCTAATGCATTTATTATCAAAGATGATGAGTTGAACCCTCTAAGAAACCTACTTATCGAAGGATTTCTTATTCTCTCAAAACAATGTTTTTTGCAGCAACGATTTGTATTTCCCAACTGGCCAGTGTTGAGGAACAAACTAAAGGATAAACTCTCACATTTCTGTATTATTCAACTCATCTGATTCTGACGAGCTAAGTATATAGGTCATTCGGTGTGTTTTATACAAGAGGATTCAAGAACATTATCCGGCCTGTTTGAAAAAGATGCAAATGTATCCATAAGAAGCTCCATAACAGAACACCTTGTGAACACAGGTTATCTGATCAAAACAGACTTAGTGCTCTAGAAAGTGGTTTTCTTAGCATTAACGAAGCATTTGTTATACACCTAGAAGAACCAGAACAATGTACCAAAAAAAGACTTATCCAACATCTGCCACCATGGTGTTAATCTCTCGTTTTTTCAAAGCCTTCATCTTTCATCCTACCTACTTCCCAAGCAACATTTTAGTCTCAATCGATTAGCTTTGGTATTTATGTTTTTTAAAGTTTATTCCAACTTTAACATTTTATTTTTTTCTCTTTTACGCAACCTCTTTTAACAAATTTCTGATCTTTATTTGTTTTCTTGATGGATACTTAAACCCTATTTTGAGTTTGTTAATGAGAATAACATTTTTTCCTTTTGTTTATTTTACCCTTATGTTATCATGTCTAAGAAATTATTATTATCACCACCAATATTGTTATTACCTGTTTATTAATAGGAATATTATTGGATTATTATTTTGAAAAAGGAAGTACATATTTGAGATTATACAGAATTGAGAATGAATTCGCCAAAAATAGAACTCTACAATGAACCGATCTTTCGCATTTTTACGTCACAATAGGTATATTTCATTTACTTTGAAAATTGCAAAGAGATATAAAAGACATTTCACAACATAATTAAACTCTAACTTAACTACAAATCTAAGGTATTGAATTCTTCTCAATATTTATCCGTGAGTCAATCAAAAGAATTTGCTTTAATTTAGGAGTCATTTAAACTTATTATTATCACCATCATCTCATCAACATATTAGATATACTTACCCTATTAGTCATAACATCAGCTAACAGCATTACATGACGTACATTAACTTCGACACCGTGACCTTCCATAACGGCTAGTAATTCATCAATAACAACACGTCGAGCTGCTTCCACACCCAACACTTGTTCCACTTCTAAAATATTATTACTTTGTGTACGTTCAGCTACGACGCCTGGTATACACATTACCTTGAAGAAGAAAAATAATGCACTTTGCAGAACTAAAAAAAACTAACAAAACCACTGTTTACGAAATAAAGGAAAATTCTTTAAAACGAAGAAAAAGCATATCACTAAATTCTTGTAATTGGTTTTTAGAAAAATCTCTATTAACTAATTCATACCAGAAAGTTTTTGTGGATATTATGGTAATTTCAATTGACTCATGATCTCAACCGTTGAAATTAATTGTTTGAATATAGAAATGGATGTAATTTATTACAACACACAACCGTCAGTACCAGAGAAGGCTTTCAGCAGTGTTGTTGAACCGGATGAAAGATTCAGTAGACGCCCAACTTCGAGATCAAGAAGCTGGATTCCGTAAGGATCGATCGTGCACAGGCCAAATCGCGACACTACGATAATCGTTGAACAGTCAATTGAATGGAACTCGTCACTATATACCAACTTCCTCGATTATGAGAAGGCATTTGGGTGTGGATAGGAGAAGATTATGAAAACTTCTTCGACATTACGGAGTACCTGAGAAAACCGTCAACATCATCCGGAATTCATACGACGGATTACACTGCAAAGTCGTGCATGCAGGACATCTGACATACGCATTCCAAGTAAGGATCGGAGTAAGACAAAGTTGATTTCTCTCCTCCTTCCTCTTTCTTCTGGCGGTCGACTGGATTATGAAGACCACATCGGAGGGGAACCACGGAGTAAAATGGACAGGTTAAATGCAACTAGATGATTCGGACTATTCCATACACAACAAAAGCAGGTCAAGGCAAACTGTGTAGCAGGAGCCTCAGAAGCAGTAGGGCTCAACATACATGAAGGAAAAACCGAAATCCTCAGATTCAACGCAGAGAACACCAACACAATCACATTTGATGAAGAAACTCTGGAAGTAGAAAGTTTCACTTATCCGCGTCACATCATCGATGAACAGGGAGGATTGGATACAGACGTAAATGCGAGGATTGGCAAAGCAAGGACAGCATTCCTACAGTTGAAGAACCTACAGAACTCAAAAAAACTGTCAATCAATATCAAAGTCAGTAACTTCAATACGAACGTCAAAACAGTTCTATTGAACGGAGTTGAAACTTGGAAAACTACAACACCATCATCAAAAAGGCACAAGTATTTATAAACAATTTTGGTAGAGAACAAACCGACTCTCAGCTGAGGAGGAAATCAGGAAATGACGTTGGAAATGCATAGGACACACATTAAGCAAATCATTAAACTGCATCACGATGAATCCTAAAGGGAAACGATAAATAGGAAGGGCCAAAGAACACACTGAGTCTGGGATTGGAAGCATACAAGAAAAGGAAGAATAACAACTGGAAAGGATTGCCCAGGACAGAGTTGAATAGAGAATGCTGGTGAGCGGCCTACGCTCCTCCATGAGGGGTAACAGGCGTTGAATTGAATTGCAACTTATTAACCAACTACAGGAATTTCTCATTTAGCTTCAAGCCATATAAGTTTGTGTGATATGGATGATGACAATACCTCTCAATCGTGTGCTGTTACGGGTATGAGGGCTGATGTCACTTCCCGGCTGCCCACACCGTGGAAGGGTATTTCTTGAGGAACCTGAAAAGGAAATTGGATTAGTGTTGGTCTTGACGACCTGGGAGCGTGACCGCAGAGCCCAAGGGACAACTGCTTGAGACCGGTCGCGCACGGCCTTTTTGTGGAAGGTTTTTGACGTGTTAGCTCCGTTCTTCAAAGGGCCTTACCGCCGGAGACGGAAATCCGTGAGGTAAGGTGAGGTGTTGAGGTGAGGGTTGACCTTTTCTAACCCCACCCCTCCTTGTGGGAAGGCAGCATCGCTTTCATGCTGGTTGTCCGAGGGAAACACCTTACTGCTGTCACACCTCTCTACAGTCAGCAGTACGACTTCGCCCTCAGACCTTGAGTTGCTGCTTTTAGTCTTACCGTTCACCAATCGACCTGCCTGGCATGGTAGAACCTACAGGAACATATGTTCCAGCCAATATAGCTCGGTTGGGTCATCACGATAGGCAAGCCCGACCACCGCGTCAAGGTAGCAGCTTCGATCGGGATACCTATCAATAGGCTAAAATGGAGTCAGTGGGAGGAAGGTTCAAATCTGCCACCTACCACTTAAACTCCTACTTTTTAATTATTAAAAACCATTACTCCACAATAGAAAGAAACTATTCATGTGGACGAAAGAGAAATAACGCCGAGTTATGATAGTTCTTCAATATTAATGTTATTCTTTACAATGTTGTGAGTTATCTTCAAACCACACAGTGGTTGTGTTAACATGACGACAAAAAAAGACTGTTCACATTAGTGGAGCAAGAAAACAATGACTTGAAAGAATTAAAAACGTTATATTTTTATTCACCAACTATGTTTAAAATAATCACTCACTATTTTATTTGTTTATTTATTTATTTGAACACATAAATACTGGTACAAGGAGGCACCAAATACATATGCGCCACACAAATCTCATTTGATATGTGTGAGGACTGTGATACTGCCTGGGTGCCCAAACCGAAATAGGTGGTTTTCTTGGGCGGCCATGCCTGAAGCTTTCGACCTGAAGGTCTGATCCACAAGGCAGTGGAGCATAGTAAGGAGATGCAGTCCCATGGTAGCCGGTGGCAAACGATTGGTTCATACGCCATTTGTTCCTTTAGGATACTGGAGCCCATGTGCACCAGTGGTTTGGAATCAGGGTTTTCCAACTCCCCTAGGTGGACTCTTTATGTCCACCAACCCGATTAGAGCTCTCGACATTCGTTTGTCGTCCTCTCAATTCCGTAAACAACACCCCTGCCACGAGAAGACAGTGAGTAGGACTTAATCACTCAATAATTTTAAAACTACATTAACCGGGTTAACACAAACAAAACGGATAGTTCATCTAAACATAGGTGAAAATTCAGTTTAAAAAGAATTAATCAGAAAAGAAATCAAACTAATAAAAAACTCATTAAATTTTATCCATATAGAGAGTTTGTGGGAATTTTTGGGTCTTTTAATTTACGTCACGGACTTATCCTATTAAATCAAGCGATGGAGTTCAGCAAGTATTGAAGAGCTACTTCGGCTTAGTAAAGGATTGAATAGTCCTAAACTAAAACGAAGCAGTTGTCCAGTGTCAACTGGTTTTAACGGTTGACTGACTAGGATCAGTGTGTAATCTAAACAATAAAACTCGCGAAATTTATCTTGCAATAAATGGAATACAAAACATACCTCACGTAATCGAGCTCCTTCAACAAAAATTCTATGTTCACCTTTATCCTGTTGAATTACAACACGAGATACGCCAGGTATGCCTTTAACAATAACATCTTCAACTAATTTGACAACTGTTTCCAATGCATTCAAATCCACTGGATATACGAATATATAATCTTTTGCATAGGTTACACGCTAAATAAGGGAAACATGGAGAAGAGGAAGGAATTGCAAGCTGGTTTTTGAGCTGCTACCAACTAGATAATAACAAAAATGGTGAATATCCTTTTTTAAAATTGCCTATAATCTAGAAAGGGAATTTTCATTACACCTTGAAAAAAGTTGAAGGAAATAACAATAATACAGAAGCACTTATTATTAATGTAAATAACATTAATAATACTAATTCAGTGAGGATTTTGTTACATATCAGTGTACTATTCTATGAGACATATTTGTGTGGCAGTTAAAGATATTATTCAGTAAAACAAACCTTGAGCAGGTGCAACGAGGTTCAAGTAGTAAATCCAAGTCCCTAAACAGTGAATTTAAAAATCTACGATTATAGAAACCAAACCATGATGGCTGAATTTTCGTAGAAGTCGTTCTTTTCACTAAATGAGGTTAGTTACTTACCGTCGAATACTTTTCAATTTCAGTCACTTCCTGAGATGGATTAAAAATGACAGTTCCTTTAGACAATTAACTTGAAATTTTATTAGAGAAAGTGTATTAAAATAAAACGAGGTTATTTATGAATTACTCTTATTATTTTAAGAGTAAACTGAAAAATCTAGATTGTTTACAACAGCCATAGTGAACAACACTTACCGATATTTTGGTCTTCTTTAACTTAGTTGTTTGAATAGCTGTAGCGACTTGAGGTGTTGTAATCCCACGTCTATCCATTCTTTTTTTATCTAATTTAATAGCAACATATACATATTCTGGTGTTAAACACTGACTTAATGATAATGATATATCTGCTAGTCGTGTTGGTTCAATAGACAATTTAACTTGACGCGCTAGTGATGCTGAGAATGGATCAGTTAAAGTAACACAAATTAATGGTGTTTTAATTTTGGCTGCTGCATTAACAATTTCACGCATACGTGGGACACCCTTTTAAAGAAAATAAAAAAAATGAAGATTTCTTATAAACCATCCAATCTAGCTATAAATCAGTCAAAAGAAAACATACATAGATATTCAACGCCCCAAGTTTTGTTTTGAAACCTACTCTAATACTAGTAAGTAGAGTGCACCTGACTAGTTAATGACCAGGCTATGCATAAAAAATTCACATAGTTTTGATAAAAAATGTAGTTTGAGCCCATAACTCAAGTAAAGATTATTTAATTTGGCTATAGGATTGTTTATTGAAATGACAAAACGGAAATATCATTAGAATAGACCGATTTTGTTTCATTGTACACCAACTAAATCTTTCTCGATGAAAATCGTACATAATTGACAAAAATAAATTACAGTTATCTTATTCACATTGTGAGACAATAATCAAGCAAAGAATTTTGAAAGATAATCAAGACATTAAAAACATCTATTTAACTACTAGAAGAATACTTTAACATAAAATGAAAGTATTTGACGTTGTTAAATCATCTATAAGTTTGAAGGCCAATAATACTATACGGCTATTTCATGCTTTAATTAGGCTCAAATCGTGACTAGCTGATTGTCCTTTTTTCAACCAGTTAAAAATAGTGGAAGGATCATGTTAGAAGAATTGTATTTATATCGTTGTAGTTTGAGTAATTAAAATATATACTTGTTCGATTTACATTCATGTTCTGATATGGGGTGAGTCGAGTTAAGTATAAGGTTTAACAAACACTATACAGTAGAAAATTTACGTCTGAAAAGTTAACTTACTTGTGTAATATTCATACTGGCTACACCAGCAAAGTGAAATGTTTTTAATGTCATCTGCGTAGCTGGTTCACCAACAGATTGACCACATAATGCACCAACAGCAGTACCTGGTTCAATTAAAGCTTTCTCATATTTCTCTTTAACATGTGTCAAAAATATACGTAGTTGTGTTCTAGTCAGACGTTCATTTTGATTGATTAAATGTGACCCATTTGCATTTTCTGTACACCATTCTTGCCATTTACGAATTTTCGGACAAACTGAATGGTGTATAAATTCTCTAAAACGACACAAAAAGGGAATAGGAGATCATATTTTATAAACTGAAACATAAAAATTACACTCTTTGAATCATTGCATTACATAGTCTGGTTCGTACTATAAAAAAGCAGTAATTCACATATGTTGAAAGGAGTCTATTGGATGGGAGCCTTGTCTAAATTACTTTATGATTGTGATATTTCTAAGTAGATGACATGCACAGGTCGATCACGAGTATCTTCGAAGAAATCGACCTACGAGGTTGTGAACAATTATTGAAACGTGGTTGGAACATGTGTTACGTATACCTAACTACCGATTAGGGAGGGACTACAGTGACTAGCATAGAACTAGTCCCAAAAAGAGACTAATAGACGTTAGACAAAGAGATGCCAAAGATTCGTGAAGTAACTGACTTTTGTTGTTAGACATGCAGAAAAGTAGTTATATCGTAGTTGAAGTCTACAAAATTACTGAAACTCATTTTTGAAAACATGAAAAGGCAGAATAGTTTACTGCTCGACTGAAGTGTTAAACACTCCTTACTTTTTGTTAGTTAATTTCATTCCAAACTTAAACCTTGATCTCCTCCATTTCCAATTTGCAATTAGCGCTAAAAATCTAACTTTCGCTTTTTGGCCTTTTATACTGTTGAAATCCTCAAATTATGCTGCTTTAAAATGTAACAACTACGGCCGATGCACTTTTGGTATAAATTCCAATTCGCTCATATATGTCTATGTGACTGTGGCGTTAAGTTACTCAGCTTAATAGCCATAATGTAGACTTTGTTGACAACATTCAATCAACATGTGAGGTAGTGGGAGTAAAATATGGTTAGTCACTAAGCGTGAACAAACAGGCACTAAGCTTACTGACTATCAAATATGTGATTTCATTTCTTTACATTGATTTCTAATCCGGACTCACTGAGAGCGACTGCTTGTAACTATATTGAGTAAAGAATCATATAGCGATACTTTGGTTCTCTATTCTAGACCGTGAATCATGTATCCGATAAAAATGTGTTCCGTATTGTGTACCGTCCCAGTATCCAATCCAGCGTAGCATAGTATACCGCGAAGAGTTAGTCAGTCAGTCAGTCAGTCAGAAACAACGTGAAACTTCGTACGTACATACATCAGTTCAAGTTGCCTTGCCACATTAGCACAGAGATGCAGTTGTCGATTCAAATCCCGTAGTGGTAGAGGTAGTAAGAGTATAAAAAGTAATCGGAAAGGTTGGGGTTCGAAGATGTTATTCAACGAGTATAATCCAGTCAAATGAATTCGGAAAGAGAAAAAAAGAAAGGGACATGAAGAATTCAGAAGATTAGAATTTGGGCGAACACAAAGAGTGGATGCACCTGCACCATTGCAAACGATTTTGAGCCATGTCATTCAAGGTCTCCAACCATCGTTGCTATCGTCTCACGGATCCCAACCAGGCAGTTCACACTTACCAACATGGCTCAGTCCACTTGAAAGTGACTTCGTGGATTTGTGTCATGTTTCGGTCTGGTAGCCTCTAGCTTTCTTCCAACCTACTCCTACACCATAAAACGTCGCACGTCGAGGGTTGGACATTCGTAACACGTACCCCAGCCATTTCAATTGATGAAGTTTCACTATTTCATTAATTGATTTGCCATCCTTACCTAGTACCCGATTCCTAAAAACTACATTACTTACTCGATGGTACCAAGATATACGAGCAATGTTTCGAAGACACCTATGACCGAATTTTATTTATTATTTATTTTAACACAAAGATATTGGTACAAGAAGGCACCAAATACATATGCGCCACACAAATCTCATTTGATATGTGTGAGGACTGTGATACTGCCTGGGTGCCCAAACCGAAATAGGTGGTTTTCTTGGGCGGCCATGCCTGAAGCTTTCGACCTGAAGGTCTGATCCACAAGGCAGTGGAGCATAGTAAGGAGATGCAGTCCCATGGTAGCCGGTGGCAAACGATTGGTTCATACGCCATTTGTTCCTTTAGGATACTGGAGCCCATGTGCACCAGTGGTTTGGAATCAGGATTTTCCAACTGCCTTAGGTAAACTCTCCGTGTCCACCAACCCGGTTAAAGCTCCGGACATTCGCTTGTCGTCCTCTCAATTCCGTAAACAACACCCCCGTCACAAGAAGGCAGTGAGTAGGACTTCCCTGGCAGAGGCTATATACGCGTGGCCATGTGAGAGCATTTCAAGAGGCAGAGCGGACTCTCCCTACTCTCGGTCATACCAGGGGGTTCGGGTTGAGTTTATGGCCGAATACTAGTAACCTAAGAATATCCTCTACTCTTACCAGTCATGTTTCACTGCCATAAAGTAGGACGGAACGAACTGCTGCGCAGTAAACACGTCCTTTGGTTGATAGACGGATATCTCGCCTACGCCATAAATGACGCAAGTTGGCAAAAGCTAGTCGAGCCTTCTGTATCCGTGCTGAGATTTCGTCACACACCAGACCACAAGGGCTGATGAGACTTCCAAGATAAGTGAAGCGGTCGACACACTCAACTACTTCACTCCCTATCACTAGTTCGGGTGTCAATGTAACCCAATCCTGAAGCAACATTTTGCATTTCGAGGGAGAGAATCGCATGCCGAACATGCTTGCATTGTTGCTTAGAGTGGTCAGAAGACTCTGCATTTTGTCAGCGTCTTCACCAAATAAAACTATGTCATCAGCATATTCTAAGTCAACAAGTGAACCTCCTGGTAGAAGTTCAACCCCTGTAAATTTAGATGAGGAGAGTGTTATCTCTAAAAGTACGTCAATGACAAAGTTGAACAAGAATGGGGAGAGTGGACAACCCTGACGAACACCACTTGAGGTGATCAATTCTGATGACAGTTCGCCATAAGCTCTCACTCGACCAGTTGTGTTCGAGTAGAGAGCCTTTATAAGGTTAATGTACTTCTTTGGTACTCCTTTCAGTGACAAACACTGCCATAGAACCTCACGATCAATAGAGTCGAATGCCGCCTTAAGGTCGAGAAATACTACCATTGTGGGGCGTCTGAATGTGTGTCTGTGTTCTAGAACCTGACGTAGTGTGAATATCTGATCTATACAACCACGTCCAGGTCGAAAACCAGCCTGGTTTTCTCTAGTCTGTTCTTCACGAGCTTTAGATAGGCGTCGAAGTATTATTGAGACTAATATTTTAGACACTATATTAGTCAAACTGATTACTCTGTGATTGTCACAAGAGGACTTTTGTCCTTTCTTATAGACTGGCAGAATCAGTGATTGAGACCAATCAGATGGGATTACGTCCAGTTGCCAGATTCCACATAAGTTCATCTCACTGCTCATACTGGACCGCCATTTTTAAAAATCTCAAGGGTAAAACTGTCAGGGCCTGTTGCTCTCCCGCGCTTCAGATTTCCTATAGCTTTTTTAACTTCGTAAGCAGTTGGAAGACTTGCTATTCAGGTTTGCGGGAAATTTTTATGACTTTATGTCCGGCTAGTTATCACGTGATTTATCCACCAACCAAAATACGATTTATACAATCTTAGCACGGTGCCAAACCAATAACGTTCGACCGGTATGAGCAGCCTAGCGTCCTTATTGATCCTATGTCCGCCTAGCCCGTCCACTTGAGTCCAGAACACCAATACCAGCTCCCACTATGGGAATCGAATCGAATCATTTATTTCAGACATAATGGATTTATCTATCAAACAAACAGACAGCAACACACCACAAAATAGGAAATAACATTCATACACAATAAAGCCAAAAAGTGGCTGTGAACGTGGGAGACAGTAGTCAATAAACTGAACATAGCTTACGAAGAGTAAATCGCACAATAATAAATTATCTAGGTCAAAATAAAGCTTATAACAAGGGGAATACAGATATACATAATCTAGTTACTGAATATACACACCATAAGAATATATAAATAATGTTAGTTCATTAATAGGTCTCAGGAGTTTCTCGTACTTTAATCTTCACTAGGATATAACAGGGATCATGAGAAACCGAAGTGTGGCTGAAGATTAATTGAACTGATCCCTAGTATTCTGCCCATCGATCCAATCTCCTGGATTGAGAATAAATAATATGTCCATTTTTTCCGAAATAGTTTCGCCAACAGTTGAGTTCCTAATACCAGTTTCCTTAACAAGTCTGAACAGTTGTCTGCTGTTACCTATTGCCCCTGCCTTTTCCATCTCTCTTGCTTTCGCTACCTACCACTGTTCGTGATCATTGCGTAGGCTTCTTATCAGCCTACGCTTAAGCTGACTCCGCACTTCATCATATTCAGAGCCAGATGGGATGAGTTTTCGTGCATCTATCAGTGCGGTAGATGCTGATGAGATCCAGTGTTTCTCCTTAACCTTATGGTTTACCTTACTAGCAGGCCACTGCTGTTCCCACAGCTTTTCGGATATCATTCCACGCTGCCTCAATGTGGGTATCACTTATATGGCTGCCTAACTGTTTTTATAGTTGTTCCTGAAATATATTCTTAGCTTGGTTATCATTAAGTAGGACCCTAAGAGGTTTCCTTGCAGCGTTCAGTAAGACGCAGACAAATACGTGCTCGCACTAGAGCATGATCTGAATCTAAGGCATATGTTCCAGAACGAGCGACAGTCTTCTGTAGAGCCTCTCCATCGGTGGCTGATAGCGATGTGATCTATGTCGGTCCAACGTTGGGACGAATTCAAGGGTCGCCATGTTAAAAGATGTTTTTGCTTATGCTTAAAGTTAGTATTTGCAAGAAACAGGCGGTTATCTGAGCATAGCTGTAACAGACGGTCGCTATTATCTGTTCTTTGAGCCATGATACCATTAGATCTACCCAGGTGTCTTTCCGTTTCGCTTAGTTTACCTACTTGAGCATTAAAGTCGCCAGTCACCATTGCTACATCAGAACGCCTAGCTTTTCGGAGAAGGTCGGAGAGCTTTCTGTAAAACTCATCTTTTACATCATCTGAGCTGCAGTCAGTGGGAGAGTAGGCAGAGACGATGAAGAGGCAATGACGAGTGTCCCTATCTTTCCTAGTCCTTACTGTTCCGTTTAGTCGGACAGAGCACAAACGACTGTCTACTTGGATCCAGTCTAAGAGAGCTAGTTCTGCCCAAGGGTTCGACGCTATACCTACACCAGCAAGGCCACGGGAAGCATCATCAGGGCTTCTAGATACACGAAGCGTGAATCGAGATGGTTCTTTATTTTGATATAATGAGGTCAAATAAATGACGCTACTCGGATTCTGTATGTGCGTTTCGGAAACGCAGCACACATCGACCGCAAAGAGAGAGAAAATATATATTTCGAACCAACCGTTATATCACAACAGTAAGGACTAAACAACATAAAACTGACTACTATTTGAAAACTGATTAGTGTAATGAATATAGTGGTAAAGACGAAACAGTCGACATTGCAGTATCATATTTTCGACTTAGATGATAACAATCTTTTTCCAAGGTAAACGCTGGCTGAGGTCGACAAATAATAGGATAGAATGAGCGTATAGAAAGCAACAAAGTTAGCGACTCTGGCGCACAAGAAATTGCAGAGTTACTTTTTAATTACATGTCATTATCTGTTATTACCTTTTCATGAAAATTCATGTGGCAACTGAATTAGACATGATCAACTAAAACCATTATGTGCTACAACAGTATGAAATAAAACTAGTCTGTTACAAAGGTTAATAAAAATGGAAGACATTGACGTGACTTACTTGATTGCTGAACATAAGCGACTATCTAAATGTCGAAATGCATCAAGTTGAAAGACAACCTCTACTGCTAGTTCTAACTCTTCAGCAGACATTCCAACTTCATGAGGGCAATCATAACTAGTCTAAGTAAAGAAATAACAATAATCAAGTAGACATGAAATATTACTCTTATATGTTCCATTTCTTTGATAAAATTCACAGGAAATGTATCTGTCTCCATTTCTAAAGGATCCAGGCCATCGGAACCGTAACGGAATTGAATTATATCGCCCCGACTATCACGTACAGTATCATCGTAAGCCACCGCTAAATCTTCAAGAAACTATTTAGAAATACAGAAGGAAATAAAATCCGTATATAAAGAGAGGATGGAAATAAAATTATCTGATGTATGGAAAATATGAAATGTTTATGGCATTAAGCAGTAGGTACATGAAAGTTTCAGTAAAACAGATAAATGGTCGAAGCACTAATTTCCTTTATTTCGTTTCCCAGTATAATATAAATGACTATAAAAGTGTTATCCCTAGTATAATCTTTTTGAGGACAGTATAATATTTAATGAAGCATAATGTTCAATTCAGTGAAAACGAACAAACAATTTTACAGTTAATCAATGAATTGCAGAATCTTAACAAATTCCAAGGTGATAGGTTCCGGCATGATATGATACCCGTCAAACAATTGTTGATAGTCGAAGAATATTTGAATCAGTCTGATTTAAAGATCAATGAAATAGTCGCAGAGGCTGAAAGACTTCAGTAGAGTAAATCTTTTCTTTCTCTTCTTATTTTCCCTTTCAATTAGTAAGAAACCTACATGCAATTCCTCATGCATACTACTTATGCCTGTACATATAAGTAGCACATAACACAGTGCTATGATGAGAATTACAATAAGACTAAACAATCAGCCAATTCATCTACACTGACCCACTTTTTTAATTATGATAACAAAAATCTACAAAATGATTATCATAAAGATCATCTGAAAGGCTGTAAAAATACCTTGACTAGTCTTCGTTGCATATAACCTGTATCTGCAGTTTTTACAGCAGTATCCGTCAATCCTTCACGACCACTCATAGCATGGAAAAAGAATTCAGATGGTGAAAGACCTGAATAAAAGCTATTTCCAACAAAACCTTTTGCTTCAGGTGTTCGTGAACCTGGAGGGAAATGAACTAGACTGCGTCCATTAATGACATCTGGAACACGTTTTCCACCAATTACTTGTTGGCCAACACAAGCAATCATTTGAGATATGTTGAGAAATGAACCTAAAAGAACAAAATAGGCAATTTAAATAAGGATTGCTAATATGAAGCAAAAGGAATTTCGGCGCACTAACCAATACAAGATGTTCATATATTATAGGAGGAAAGAATTCAACGTACCTTTTGACCCTGACTGAGCCATGACCAGTGGTGAGTTCGATGGGTGAAGCTGACGTTTACAAGCTGCTCCCGCTTCGTCACGAATTTTCGACAACTCTTGACTTATATTAGACTACATAAAATATGAAGTGAACGACAATATAGTAAAATATAACTAAGGCACTGAACGTGAGGAATAATGCACTTAAGGAGTTAAGTTAAATACTCACCAGTTTCTCCGATTGTAGCGAATTTATTCATGCATTCCCTAGAAACTAGTGCAATCGCAAAGAGTTTATGTCCACCAAAGTTATGGTTACGGTATGTAGACGACATTTTTATTATCAATAAACGGGATGGTATGGAAGAACTATTTAACAATGCAAATAGCATTTCTGAAAACATTAAACTAACTAAGGAATTAGAATCAGTTGACCACAAACTAGCATTTCTAGATTGTCTGGTTGAACGTCGACACAATAATAAGAAGTTAAAAATAAATGTTTACAGAAAACCAACGCATTCCGAGAGATACTTGGATTTTAATTCGGCCCATTCACAGAGCACGAAAATTAATGTGGTAAAAAATCTAATGAACAGAAGTACTAAGATTGTTACAGACAAGGAAGACCAACGAACCGAATTAAATAAAGTATTTTCTACTCTTAGGGATAACAACTACCCAAAAAGGTTTTTAAAAAAGATTATTAAAAATGAAAGAAAAACTAAACTAGAAAGTATACGAAAAGAATGGAAGTACACCGTAGTCATACCTTACCGGAGTGAAACATCAGAAGAAATCAAACGGATTCTAAACAAACATGATATAAGAGTGTATTTTAGAGCAAATAACACATTAAGATCGACATTAGTGAAAGTTAAGGACAAGTTAGCAAAGGAAGAACAACAGAACATTGTGTATGAGATTCACTGTCATGACTGTAATGCTACCTATGTTGGAGAAACATCCAGGCAATTAAATGTAAGATTGAAGGAACACAAACAATGCTTGAAAAATGTTCCAAAATCCTCGGTAGATTTAAAGAAACTTGAAAATAAGTCAGCGATAGCGTTACATGCGTTAGAAACAGGACACAAGATTAATTTTGAAGGGACCAAAATACTTCAGAAAGGTTTTAACACCCATAAAGAAAGATTGACAGCAGAAGCTCTGCATATATGGGCGAACAAGAACAGCCTGAACAGAAAAGATGGTATTCAAATGGCAACTACCTGGCAAATTTCGTTTGACAAGTAAATTTGGAACCTATCTCTTGTTTAAACCTGTTTTTAATATCACATGCATCGTTATTATTATTGAAAGAACTGAATGAGTTTCTAAACAATACAATTTATGTTTTGACATGCACATCGATCTTTCATTATCAAAATTTTCATCCTTGAACTTGAACTTTATTTATTCCTTCATATCAATCTCTCACACATGCATACATACATACACACTCACACACATACGATTTGTTACTCAGTTAAGTATTTCCATGTAGTTGAATTCATCACATGATTTGTAGTCAACTGACTCATTTTATCCTATTTTACAAAAATCAACACCCAAATATGATTGGTTTAACACAGTATAATCCTGATTGTTAAAAGCTATATATTTCTTTGATAATTTTGATTTTGATTATTACCCTGAAGAAGTCCAGACAAGTTAGCTGGACGAAACGTTGGAATTAGTTAAATTTCAATCGCTGAGAATATTTCAAATATAATTTTCACATATAATGACTTCTCTATACTCGGCGCTCAATTACTGTCAAACTATTCGTTCTAATCTTGACGAATATTCGTTTAAATACTCAATGTTTTTATTTTGATACACAAAACCATCCGACCAGATAAACAAAAAGACACCAACACAGAACCTAACAGAGTTGCGCGTTGACTCAAGTTGGTACACCACATTAGCGCGAGACGAAAATAACAAGATGAATAGCAAAAGAGATCTAAATAATGTAGAACCAATGATAGTAAGAAAAATTAGACGTTGTGAACACAATTCAATTTGAAACAGTTTAATAAGTACTTCCAGCTGACGAATCCCAAAAAAGACGAAACGCGAGTCGTGGATTCAGTCTTTAACCACAAATCGGGATTATCACGTGGACCACAACCAGGTAGTTTGGATGGCTCAAACCGACAATCAATGACCACATCATAGATAGATGTTGTCTTGGTTTCGCTAACAGGCACCGCGCGTTGAGGTATTCGGTGGTTAGGGATTTGTAAAAAAATGTCCTGACCATCTCAGTCGATGAAGATTTACAAACTCCCTGAATGATTTACCCTATGTCTAACCTACTAATTGCTCACTCGGTCATTCCACGAAAAGCGAGTATTACTTCGAAGACATCGATGATAAAAAAACATTCATACTAATTATGCCTTTTAATTTCATAGACCATGTTTTATAGTTATAAGTTAGAACAAAGCGAACTAATGTGCAGTTTATACATCCTTTGTTTGGCAGACGGATATCTTACCTAAGCTACAAGTGACGCAAGTTGAGGAAAGCCACACGAATTGAATGCCGAAAATCGCGTGCTACAATAACTATGTCTCAGTGCTTGGCTTTTTGAAGGAGGTCATGAAGTACCCCGCATAACGAATCTTTTACTTCATGTGAGCCAATTAGTGGGAGCATAAGTAGAAATGATGAAGAGGTAATAGGGTATCTCTATCTTACAGAGTTCTTACTGTGGTATTAAGGTGGACAGTACTCAAGAGACTATCTACAGGAATCCAGTAAAGAAGTGTTTGTTCGGCTTTCGAACTTAGTGGTATACTTACATTAGGACCGCAAGAGTTGCTGTCACGTCTCTGTATACACGAATGGTATAGAGCGTCGGCTCTCGATACTGGTTAGGTGAGGTCGAACGAACGACTACGCTATGATCTTGTTTCGGAGACAGCCTGCATCGACGATACGAGGTTCCAAGATCTTCGCTAGTGACGAATGTTGCTGGATTCGATGTAGAGTTTGGACAGTAAAGGTAGTTTGAGGTCCAGTTTTAGAAGACCTGTTTGTTCCCAAGTACTAAATATAATTTAAAGATCCATGTACGGATACACTAGTGGGGAATAACTTAGCCATTCGATCTTAAACACGAATGATAAATACATATAGTATTACAACATTCTATAAACGCAAAAAATCTATTTTATTTCCTCAAGTTATTTATCTAAGCTTTTCTTAATTTTAGAGAAACAACAGATGACAATGTGTGCTTGGTTAGTCAATTAAGAATATTTCTATGATTAAATGTGATAAATATTTCAAAAATTTCCGTTACCAGCTAACATCGACTGAAAAACTACTAATTAACAGTGATTGTTGAACAATTGTTTTGTTTTAGTTCAGAAAACTAGAAACGCACACAACGTTAAGTTGTTCGAAGGATGAAAAACGTAGTTTTGTATCTCGGTAAGAACATTTCAGTGTTGTGTCATTAAGCTGACAATGATCGCGACTAATATCCATCTTGGATTGATCATTGAGTGTTCTACCACGCTTTAAGATCACATAATCTCTATCCCTTATAGGTTCTTTAAATAATGACAGCTGGTAACTATCTGGTTGGGGTCCGAGAGACGATAGCAACGATGGTTGGAGACCTTGAATGACATGGCTCAAAATCGTTTGCAATGGTGCAGGTGCATCCACTCTTTGTGTTCGCCCAAATTCTAATCTTCTGAATTCTTCATGTCCCTTTCTTTTTTTCTCTTTCCGAATTCATTTGACTGGATTATACTCGTTGAATAACACCTTCGAACCCCAACCTTTCCGATTACTTTTTATACTCTTACTACCTCTACCACTACGGGATTTGAATCGACAACTGCATCTCTGTGCTAATGTGGCAAGGCAACTTGAACTGATGTATGTACGTACGAAGTTTCACGTTGTTTCTGACTGACTGACTGAGCTGGTAACAAGTAATCTTCAGAACAATAAATTCATAATAAAAGCATCAATTTGAATAATAAATAATTTACTTCAAGCGTATCCTCCATACTACATCCTGGATTACAGACTAGTGTATTCATCTGATATTGATTGATATAATCATCACAGGTGGCAAATCTGAAATGTAAAAATTAGCAAGATTATCAAAATGATTTTATTTATGGTTAACTTGATAAATTAACTGCGTTATGTACATGTAGCATGCGGAATTAGTCATAAGAAGTTGTATGATAATATCACTCAAATTATTAGACTAAATTTACAAAAATGAGACAGTCGATGGTAGAATTATACCTATTCTTCATTTTATCAACATCAACCATATGTTAGTAGATGCTACCGAATTCGCTCACCAGAACAATCGTACCACATAGGTATCATTACCAAGGTTTGATAATTTCAAATAAATTTATTTATTTATTTATTATTTATTTGAACACATAAATACTGGTACAAGGAGGCACCAAATACATATGCGCCACACAAATCTCATTTGATATGTGTGAGGACTGTGATACTGCCTGGGTGCCCAAACCGAAATAGGTGGTTTTCTTGGGCGGCCATGCCTGGAGCTTTCGACCTGAAGGTCTGATCCACAAGGCAGTGGAGCATAGTAAGGAGATGCAGTTCCATGGTAGCCGGTGACAAACGATTGGTCCATACGCCATTTGTCCCCGGACATTCGCTTTTCGTTCTCTTAATTCCGTAAACAACACCCCCGCCACGAGAAGGCAGTGAGTAGGACTTCCCTGCCAGAGGCTATATACGTGTGGTCATGCGAGAGCATTTCGAGAGGGAGAGAGGATTCTCCCCACTCTCGGCCGTACTAGGGAATTTGGGGGCAAATATATTGAGCATTAGGCAGATTGTCATAAGGGAAAATAATATATTTTTAATATTTCAATGAGTAGAAAAGTTAAATTTTCTGACGTTTCGTGACTCAGTGTAAGCCACTTCTTCAGAGAATATATGACCAAAATAGTAATAGGTACCCTTCAAAGTTAGCTTACGCTGAATCACGAAACGTCAGAAAATCTAATTAATCCTACCACATTATTATGCTTATACAGCCATCTATGAGAGCAATAGTAATCACTACTGGAATCTAAGTCTCAAACCGGTTGATATTTTGGAAAAAGTATTCTTAATTTACCATGAACAAATTTGTTATGAGGATAGTTTAAAGAAAGTCATTGATGGAACAGTGGCTTATTGGTTAAAAAACTCAACTTTCAGCTAGTAATTGGCATGTTCGTGCCTAGCTCCGCCTACTTTGCTTAAGGCAGCTGTGTAGTATCACCAGTCCTCACATAAACTGTGTGGCTTAAAGCCGAATACAAAAAACCTGTACTTGGTGAATTAATTAAATTAAACATTACTGATGGATACATCACCAAAACGAATAATATTATGGAATAAATGGAGTTTACAAGAAAATACAAACAATTTGAATTGATGAGTAAATTAAGCTTACCCACGACTAATCACTGCTGTTTTAGATGCAACAAGATCTGAGCTGGGCATTACTTCACCAAGTCCGATCGAAAAACCTCGATGTGCCAGGAAAAACAAAGCAATTCTTCCTAAACGCCACATAGCGTCCGCACAAGCTTCTCTACCATAATCTCGAAGTAATGTGTAGAATATACTTGACTTGCTTCCACCCCCAAGTAACTTTTTATCTACACATCCCGCAAGGAGCTCACTATTTTGAATTAGAACAACTGAAATACAGAAAAAGCCGTTTGCAAATATGCATCACAATGAAATGTTCTTGTAATGGCAAGGAGAGCAGTACTGATGAAAAATAATAATCATTGGGATAAATATGGCTTAATTAAATAAATATTGATTCATATATGATTCTCTACATCACTTATTGTCTGAGGGTTGATAATACTATCAATACTATCAGTCAAGAATAGGGATCTGAATAGTTAATTACTGTCCAGAGCCAAAAACAATGAAAGTTGATTCATAACCTCTTTTAGTCATTTTCACTAATTAACTAGATTAAGTATGGTTTTCTAAAGATGTTATGGAACTGTGTATCGGTAGTTTAAGTATTAAACAACTCAGTGCTGTTGACAAACTGTACACTAGGTGCCTCGGTTTGAACACCCAAGTAGTCACTTTGACTATTGTGTGAAAAAGTTTACTATAAACATTTTACTGAATTGCACTGTTATCAATGAGGTTTGATGACCTACAGTCTATTGTCGCCGAAATGTTTTAGTGTTAAATATCAGGAATTGGGTTAAAAAGATTCTGTAGATATTATTCAATATCTTAAGTTAAATTCAGACTGAATTTTCACTTACAACCATCATTTGGACACATTTCTGAACCTTTCGATGAATACATAGACTTTGTTGGTACCCGAAGGTTAACCTTAATTCCAGTGGATGGATGCGGTGAAAGAATGAGACCAAATATCTGTTTACCAGTCCATAGAGCAACAGGCTGAAATAAGTTTAATACACAATCGAGAAATAATCATTACAGCATAATGTCTATTGAAAATGGATCATACAATTTGATTTATGTATAAGAAATCAGGCACTTCTTATAAGAACAATACTACTTGAAAAACCGTCTATGCATTCTTCTTATACAAGTAACTCATAAGGTAAATAAGAGTGCGCTAAATAGCCCGTCTGATATTTATTAATGTTTTGGTTATACTGTTTTCACAAAATATTCGTTCAGTAATTAAAGGACTCTACTTTAAGGAATTGGGTTTCAAGTTCAAATTATGCCGTCCATACTTTAGTTTCAATAGTTAGGTAGCATCATTAGTCCTCATATAAAAGGTGTAGTTCAAAGCTAACCACACAAAATTATACTTGATTATCAACTTTTAAAAATACGATGTTTTCAAAGCTGTTTAATGGTGAAGTCATGAATAAATGTTATCTAAATCAAGTAAATAAAACCTATCACTTATTAAATAATTGGATCTATATATTCATATTAAACAAACTTTAAGGTAAAAGGAAAAAAATTATATTTAATATGGTCTGGCCAACTTACCCATAATATAGCCGGTTTCGGTAAACTTAAAAGTCGACCCAAATGGTTACCAGCTAATAGTTGAGAGGCTAAAGTACAAGCCTGATCACGATTAAGGAAAACGTCTTTCAAGGTCAACAAATGTGTTGCAGTGATTAGGTCTTGAATTGGTGAAATTAATGGTTCACCATTTTTAGGGCTAACAATATTCTTGAGAGACTGTCAATGAAGATGTCAAAGAACAAAAAATTCAACAGGATACTTTAATGAAAGAAGCTATAAATGAACTGTGACGAGTATTTATATATGCAAATTACAGAACAAATAGTTCAAAGAGTGAATTCCCTTCAACTCAAATAAGGTTGTGCATTATAAAGAACTTCATTTTTAAATTGCCGATAGTTATAATGATACTAAAAGGGTAAACAGACAAGTGAAAAGGATATGTAACCTGTGTATCAGCTCCAGTTATCACACTTAATAACGGTACATGAAAGGGAGAGTAAAATAACAGTCCTTAATATTTTTATCATTGTTAATACTGTCATTGTCATATCAATTTCTCGTTTTATTTACAAAACAGTTATCTTTCACTTTTGTATGGCATATCAAGATTTTTTGTGTTAAAATACATAATCAACTATACAATCGTAAAATAGTTGATTGTGAGATTCCAGCTTAGTGGTCTAGAAGTTAAGCGTCCATTTGTAAGACCGAAGGTCCTGCGTCTGAGTCTCGAGTGCGGGATCGTGGATGCGCACTGCTGAGGGGTCCCATACTACGACCAAATGGTCGTCCAGTGCTTTCATGTTATCGATGACGGTCTAAATTAGACTGACCCGTGATTTCAACAGTAAGAATGATGTATCAATCAACATGTGTCATTATAAAAAAGAAAATAATACATCAGTCAGTAGAGAATAGAAGAGATTAAGTAGGACAGTAATTTTGTGATCATAATACTTGGCTTTCAACTATCTGGCTGAGTATTTGAATCCTGAGTTATCTACATCAGACTTGACAGCTGAGCAGTATCACTAACCCTATGATAAAGAGTTCCGCTTATAATCAAGTATATGAAGCTAAACTTGATTATTTATGTTTGTTTTTTACAAGCTTAGTCAGATTGAATTGCAAGTTATCAACACATCAGTATGGTATAACAATAATAATAAACAAATATATTTGTAATATCCCAATGAGTAGAAAAATTAATAATAATGATAATAATAATATTGCAAAAGATACCGACATACCAGCATAAGATGTTTTGCTTCTGCACGAGCTGCTTCAGTTTGTGGAAGATGTATATTCATTTCATCCCCATCGAAATCTGCATTGAATGGTGTACAACAGCATGGATTGAAGCGAAAAGTTCGAAAAGGTTTAACAACCGCCTGAAGATAATCAGCAAAATAATTAACTCATAAAGCAACCAAACAGAAAATTTTATCAATCAAATAACAAAATTATCAGGAAAAAAACATCACAAAATCGCTATCTTTCAATCACATCACGAACAAAAGTAATAGTAGGCAGTTCCTGGATAATTATCACATGTAAGCTTCTAACAAGTGGTTATCGTGAACCAGTAACCCAAAGATTTATATTTCACCGTTCAAAGTGTTGTATGTTTAGTTCTGGTTCCAGTAGAGGCATTAGAAGTTACTGAAATTTAACCAAATCGAACTGGTGAATCTCATATTTAACTTAGTTTCAGTCAGAACATAGGCATTACTAAGTGAGGAGTTCGAGAAGTCAGTCAGCTACAACGTAAGACCATGCACATATATGCATCGGTCCAAGTTGCCACATCTCATTAGCACAACAAGATGAATACCGGATTCATAAAAGTAGTTCATTCAGTTGTGATAATATATAAAAGAAAGATTGCAATAAGAATATAGTACAGGAAGAAAGATTTAGTACGTAGAAAGAAAGATATGAAGCGATTTTAATCTCTTAGTTTAAAGGAAGACAAAGAGTGTATACACCTATGCCACTGTGATCAATTCTGAGCTATGTCACACAGAGTCTCCAACCATTGGTTACGATAGTCACGCGGACCCCAACCAAGTAGTCTGCATCTACCAACATGGCTCACAACAGAAGTTAGTGACCTCAAGTAATTAATTTATGAACTGAAGACACGTTTTGGTTTGGTCGCCCCTAACTTTCTTCCAACCATCCCCAACACTAGTCAGCATTGCGCGTCGTGATAATCGGTGTTCAAGCATACGTAACACGTGGCCCAACCATCTCAGTCGATGAAGATTCATAACCTCATCAACTGATTTACCATCATTCCCTAATACCCTGCGTCTAACCTCACTATTACTTACCCGGTGATCCCAGCAGACGCCAGAAATATTTCTAAGGCATCTGTGGTCAAATACTAGTAGCTTACAAGTGTCTTCTACTCTTAATGGCCATGTTTTGCTGCCGTAAATTAAAACAGAACGGAATGCTGCGCAGTATACTCGTCCTTTTATTGATAGACGGATATCTCGCCTTCGCCATAGGTGACGTAAGTTTGCAAAAGCCAAACGAGCTTTTCGAATCCGTGCTGAAATTTCGTCAGGCACCAACCCATTAGGGCTGATCAGACTTCCAAGGTAAGTCGAGTTTTCGATGTGTCTAACTACTTCACTATTTATCTTTAGTTCAAACATTGACCCAGTCCAGTCCTGGAGCAAAAACTTGGGGGAGAAAAGCATCCCAAACATTCTAGAATTGTTGCTCAGTGCTACCAAAAGACTGTATTTTATCACAATTTTGTCATCTGAAATATGTACAAAGTATGACAAGGACTACTTACTCTGAATGCTTGAATAGATACACGATGTAGTGAGGGTTGACGGTTAAATAGTACAATATCATCATCCAATAAGTGTCTTTCAACTATATCACCTGATTGTAAATATTTTGCCACATCTTCACGTGCACGTTCAGATGCCAAGAAACGTTTTACTACATCAGAAGTACCAGATGCTTCGGCTTGACGTTTCCTCTCACCACGTAGTTTATAACTAACAAACATAGCTCCAGGATAGTTATTTGGTCCATTTAGTACAAGAGATCGGAGAAAATTCAGATTGAAATCAGTCACACGTTCAGGATATGTTAGCAATTTTGCACAGTGAACTGGGATGCATACCTGAAAAGTATAGTATACGCATTCTCTAGTTCACATATTTCAAATAACAATTACACATTTATGTGAATCTACTCCTGATCTGGACGTTCTCATAAAGCGATAAACACTGTATAAAGATGTTTCTATATCTGGCTATGACTGTTTTGTGAAAGAAGAGTTGTCCGAACCGAAATGAGTGAAATTAAATTGAGATAATCGTAAATAATAATAATGGTAAGAAAGTGTAGGTAATATTGCTGAAAATCAGCAGCACCAACTTCAATATTAGTTATTTCTGTCTTTCTAAACTTCGAAAATATTATTATTCTATACTTTTCACTTACAATTTCACTTATCTCTTTTGATATGTACAGTTGTCCATTGCTGCTAGCATTACTATCCTCGCTAGTCTGCTTCTACTATCAGGCCTATTTTCGTATTGTTGTGAAGAGTAGCAACTTGAGTAGATACATGTTTACGTCAGATCCTACGCCATCTATCGCATCAATGAAGTCCGAAATTACGATGTACTGGTTGGGAAATGAGTGCTATTTGTCACAAATGCAAAACATAGCACATTACACAGTCCTTATCAAAACTAGATATGCTTTCAAATATTTAAGGGATATTGTAGTCCCTAGTAGCTATAAAATAATGAAAGAAATAACCTAACTTTTAAAATCATATGATTTGGCACATGTTACCAGCCTTCTTTAATGTTGCTTGTCTAGGAATAAAATCCACAAAAACCCCTTCTGATAAAAATCAAAAATGTTGATATCGTGTCAAGACTAAAGATGATCTTTCTGAATTACTATGTAAGCAAAAAATGAGCTAAAAGTTAAGTTTATCACACCACATTCGGATAGAAAGAAAACAATATATTGTTAAATAAAAGTAATTTAGATACCATTAACATTACTCAATTCGATAGCCATTTATTGATTTATGTACCCATTCAATTTGAGAGTTAATGCTAATATCTAGTTGCTCAAATTAAAATGATGTTTACGTTTGAAAACTGTCGAAAATCGATTTTCAAAATTGTTGGATCTAAGTTGCAATATCCGAAAACATATCGTTTGTATACCTGGATAAGTTACTTTAGGAAAATTAGTGCCCGGAGTCCCTAATTCTGAACAATTACCTGAACCATAATGGTACTCTTAAGGAAAATGTAAACTGCGCAATTTACTTAGATTCGTTTGTAATAAAACAATCTGTGATATCAACATAGTTGATGTTATTCGGTTACTTATATTACTCACTGGTATATCTTGATGGTGTATAATGCGTTTCCAGATGCCTAAATGTAACTTTTAACGGAAAATTTATCAGTTCAGTGAGGGATAAATTACGTAAAAAGATGAAAACACGAATTAGAAGAGTTATAAATAGTTCGACTACTTTCTGACGTGTTGAAAACAACTACCACATGAACTAAAGGTTTAAAAAAGTGTAGAAAATAAGCAAACCTCATCAATTCGCATATTTGGATCTGGTGAAATAACAGTTCTGGCGGTAAAATTCGTTCGTTTACCCAATAGGCTACCACGAAATCGACCATGTTTACCAGCTAGCCTTTGAAGTAAACCACGCATAAACTTATGATCTTGAACAGGAGGCAAACCTGATTGTTGTGAATTAATTAGCCGTGCAAATTCAGCGTGTAAGTTATCTAGGCACGCGATTTGATCCGCCTCCCCGATATCTTCTTCAATTGTTGCTGCCTGAGCTAATATCCATTGATACATTTGAGTAAGATCATCTTCATTACTTTAAAAAAGGAAATAATGATACAATGAACACCTGTATAGTAAAATGAATACTGGGAAACACAAATTTGCACTATATCTACAAAGAAAGGAAAAATATAGATATGGAGATATCATTACATCTGGATCCATAAACTATGCAAATTGGTACCCAGATGTGCTGTAATGCTGAATTGATTGTACCGAGTAAATTAGGCAACATTTACCGATCGAAGTGGCACCACTGTGTAATGTATTCGACACAAACACATTCACAAAGCCAAAAAAAGCCTAGTATTGCACATGGCGAGACATTTTTGGTATTTACGTTCGAAACATATCAAAGGCAGAAACTCCAAACGCAGGTTCCCGAGACATTTTGACAACAGATACCATCAAATCTGATCCCGAATTATTAAAAGATAAGAATGTAAACTACTAAGATGCAGAAAACTACATATTATCCCTAGACAACTGCGTATAGTTGTGGTTCATATGTTTAATGATGCTACTTTTAAATATTAAGTAGTGGATTCAAACACACCATTACCTACCTATCGAACGAACTTTTGTCTATGACTTTGTCTCGGCACAGCTATCTTTAAGATTTTAAAATTAGTCTATAAATCAGGTCTTGCCATCCTCACACGTCAGCTTATATTAAATATCTATGATTGTTCAAAAGATGGGAAATGAGAGAATTTTAAACACAGGACGGAAGATTTTGAAATGTTTTCCTTCAAAAGGTTAACTTCCCGAATGTTTAACAATAGTCATTAACTTTTCCATCTTCAGTTGTAAAAGCATTCTGATTCCCACGCAAAAATCTTTGTCAGTTATTTATTCTGCACTTTACTACTTGTTTGTCTGATTTGTGTTTGGACTAGTGAGGTAAGATAACTTACGGGCGAAGACTGAAATGTCTCGTCTTACTGGATTTGCTAATGTAACACATCCTGGAACCTCGCGGGTTACTGCTAGTCCCAAACTGGGGTAGAGGGTTGGATGTGAAATAAAGAACCCTAATACAAAAGATTTAACCAAAGGAAACCAACTGAAACCAACTCCGATAGCCAGAGCAACAACTAACATACGTACGTGGAATATCCGGAGGAAGTGGGATACAGGGAGGGCAATTCAAATACTGATAAAAATGAGAGGATACAACCTGCCCCTGCTTTCAATAAATGAAAACAATCATATCTAAGTTTAACAGGAAAAACTAACTTCATGAAAAAGATTTATTCTGGTCATAAAGAAGAAAGTGGGTCGCGAACAGAAGCATTCACGGTAATGTCCAAAGAAGCACAAAAAGGGCTCATAGGGTAAGAAACGAACGGCTCCAGGATCATCAGATCATTCTTTAAAACAGAGAAGGAAAGGATTGGAACGAATTTCATCCAGTGCTATGCACACAAACGATAGGATTAAAGATTGTGAAGACGGTTTTATGAGAGGCTGGAGTTCATTTGACATAAATGTTTGGGAAAACACTTGATCATTTTGATGGCGGTCTGAACGCCAAGGTCGGGATGAATGACTCTGGGATCGAACTCATAATTGGGCGACATGAACTAGAAGAGATGCAAATGGTGCAAGTCTGACGAATCTATAAGCTTTTAACAACATGGTCACAGGTGATAGCGTTTAGCTCTAAAAGTGCATACACATCTATGTGGGTTTCATTGGACAACAGTGCAGAAAACCAGATGGATCATGGATCCAAAAATAAAAGAAATTCAGGTTCATGGAAGACGATACGGCTTTAGATTATACGCATGGAGATTTTTAAGCTGAAACTGAAGCTAAAGTCATTTGGACACTTGGACGAGCAGCATTACAAAAATTTAGTACAGTCATCTTTTGAGATACCGACAAACAACGAATTCAACATAGCTCTCAGAAATATGTCCCAAGCCTTACAAACTCGAATTAAAGAAGGGGAAATCACTATGGAGAACAACTGAAAAGGGATTAAAAAATCAATCCCAGAAGGTGCTGGGCCACAAGGTCCATCAGCATGAGGAATGAACTTCCATAAACAGCCGGGAAGAAATTTGAGAAAAGCAAAATACGAAGATGAAAGTCAACAACAGTCAAACGGTAACAGAGAAAACCAAGGTACGCCGTGAGTGTGCAGAAACAACAAACGAGTACATAAGAGTACTAAAGACAACAAACGGGAATATGTAGAAAATCTGGAGATTACAGAAAAAACGGTGAAAGGAAATATAAAGAAACCACATGATACAACCAAGAAACTTGGGGGGAAAAATATTAGACCAGAGCGAGCAATCAAGAACAAAGGAGGTAAATCGGTTATTGAGGCTAAATAGCAGTGGAATAGGTTGGGTGAGAACTTTGGAGAGCTCTTGAACAGATCATCACTCCTGAACCTTCCGAACATTGAAGAAATTGGCAAAGCCATCAGATAAATCAAGAACGGTATAGCAACGTGACTAGAAAGTATATCAGCTGAAGTAATAATGTCGCATATAGAGGCAAGTACAACGGTGTTTCGTGTTCTCTTCAATCAGGTCTCGGAGGAATAGTAAGCACCGACAAACTGGGAACAGGGATAAATTGTAAAGATGATAAAGAAGATCCTAGTGAGTTTGAAAACCACGGAGGGACTACACTGTGGTCAGTACTAAGCAGTTTTTAACAGATCAACAATCTGGCTTCATAAGGGTCGATCATATGCCGATCAAGCTGTGACACTGCTTATCGTTGTTGAATAATCGACTGAATGGAACTCATCCCCATGCATTAAATTCCCTGATTATGCGGAAGCATTCAAAACTATAGACAGAAAAACTGTGCAATACTGTGGAGTATCTGAGAAGAACGTTCTGAACACAGAGCTCCTACGACGGACTGAATTACAAGGTCGTGCATAGAGAGCAGCTTGCAAGTGTATTTCAAGTGAGGACTGGTGTCAAAAGGGGTTGATAATTCCCATCTTTTCTTTTTCTGCTGGTTGTTGACTGAATTATGGCCACATCTCGAGAAGCATGGAATACAGTGGACACAGCTACATTTATAGATGACTTAGCCCTATCATTGAATACACAGCAACAAATACATGTGAAGATAGCTAGTAGAGCAGAGGCCTCCGCAGAACTAGGCCTCAACATGTACGAGGAAAAGAGAAACATCCTGAAGTACAACGCAGGGATCTCGAACCAAATCACACTCGATGATGAGACTCTGGAGGAGGCGGAAGCCATTTACGGGCCTAAGCAGCATCAATAATGGGCAAGAAGGATACGATATGAACGTGGAGGGAACTGACAAAGCAAAGACATTATTCTTGAAGTTGAAGATCTGGAGCTCAAAAGAACTGTTACACAAGACCAAGGTCAGAACTTTGACACCGTTAAAACTGAGCTAAAACTTAGAAGACTACCACCACCACCACCAAAGCAGTAAAGATATGTACGTAAATCCGTCTACGTAATACACTCTAGATTCATCGGCCAAAGATCATCAGGGACAAGATACCCTCGCGAAGAACAAACCAGCTGCCAGCTGAGGAAATTAGAAGACGCTGGAGGTGGATAAAGCACACTCCGCATGAACCATTAAAATGTATTACGCGGCAAGCCCAAGCTTGGAATTTTTAAAGGGAAAGGATAAGAGGTAAAGTAAAGAACATATGGCGCTGGGAATCAGAGGCAGACATTATGGCAATGAACACTTGACAACAACTGAAAAGAACCAAGGACCGATTTGGTTGAGGATCTCTGGTGGATGGCATATGCTCCGTGAGGGGTAGGAGGTTTAACTCACTGAGGTTCGTTAAGGTGCATCTGGCTTGCAAATGCATACAAGTGATACGCCAAATTAATTTTTTTTTAAATTAGAAAGAGAACTTACGTTCCACTACGGACTTCGGAAACAACTGATGGTCTGATAGCACTTGGGCAGACAGGCACTCTCTGAACAATTAAGTTTCGTGGGTGAGTCATCCATTGAGAGTCAGAAGGCATGAGAAGTAATGGCAAATCTTCTTCTGGAATTTTAGAAAACAATTGCAGAGCCTTTCCGGGTCGTATAATCTCCTAGAATTGCACGGAATAATTAGCTAAATTTTTACAAATATTAATGCAATACCTATGTATATTTTCGGCTTGTTAAGATTCTTAAAACATACCAGTAGCAACAAGATTCTTGGTTAATTTATAACTATTAGCTTAATACACTTTCAATTTACGCAGTGGGTGACGAACTGGGGGGGATTCTACTTTAATCAGTCTGTTGCTGAAAATCTACGATACCAACGTATGGATCAACGAAGGTTAGGATACATATTAAGCAGTGGTATATTAATAACCAGTGTTTGAAATATTTACTCTACCTACGGAAGAGGCTATGGAAGTAAAGACAGAATTAAGATTAGTATGAAAACTGTACTCATCTTAAAGATACTACGAAATAAACTAGGAACAGATTATCTCATGAAAAACGTTTGTGAGTACTATAAACTTACGCACCGCGTAACTAACATTTTAATATAAATAATAAAACAGTAGTTCTACAGTTATTTGCCGTTCTTCAGTATTCAGATGATTTAAACTATAGATACTAAGTACTGGATGTCGAACCTCTCCGGGATTCAACACAGTTGAACTGGTCAGCATGATTATACAATTATACGGCTTTACTGTCAACATGTCAAGATTGATTCTACGGATCCTTGAATGTTTTGGTATTTATGTCATCAGAATATGAATTGGCGAAACTTTGTGAGTATGGAAAACAGTTTATGTTCGAAGGTTCATATGCAAACATCGAAGCACGAAATAAAGATATACTAAAACGGACTCGTTCTTATAATCCAAATATTGGTTATGGTGAAATTATCTAAAATGAAACAGCCACAAAACTTCACTATCTTGGTATTGAACGACGTGATAATTAATGTAATAAAAGCAGTAATCGAAATAGATACATAGGTATACATAAGCCTTCAAAAGTACTATAAAGTGACTGTTAAGGGTGGCAAAACGAACCGAATTTTAGTAAACCAACCACAGCAAATAGCAACTTTTACACACTATAAATATTGTATACGAAAATAGTGACAATATTCAAATATACAGATCACATACCAAACCTTTACGAACAACTGGCGCTAACTCCGTATTTTCTGTGATTACTTTTGCGAAATGATTTACATAATCATCGACTTTTGCTTTTGCATGTCGAAATATATCATGAACGACGTACGAAAGACTCGTACCTTTCGTAACAACACCTACAAGAGCATAGAGAAAATAACAGGACAAACCATTAAGCGCTGAGCAGAACGGGCAGACATGTATCCTGCTAGACAATTTGTGTATCGCCTTTCTGAGTTGTTTTTTATGTACGTAGTCCAAACTTGGGTTAGAACAACTAATCAAAAACCTGGCACGTTGTTGCTCAGAGAGGAGAACACGCGAGCAAGTCTAATGGGTCGTTTTGAGTAAATAAATGACCTTACTTTGCAGATAGTCTGTAGTATTTTTACTATATGCCAAGTATATCCCACATGATAAATTGGCGTCGGTAAATCGAAGTACCCCCAATGACCAATACATGTTTGATAGTCCAAGCCACAAGTAGCGCACAGCTCATCTCTCTTATTTGCACCAAGTCTTGGATCTAAAAGGCCGTAATCTAAGGCTCGTCTATTGCTTTGCCCTTCCGCATAGAGAAGACACTTTAGAACCTGAACGTGACTTAACCTTTTTAAGTCACCTTCATTGCACAGCTGAAATTTTATGTTCTCTCTGGAGAATTAAATTAGTCGGGAATACTACATACACAATCCTAGGTAAATCAGGGGGTTTGTACAGAGACGGCATTATGCACGTTGTACCGAACACATTACAAACCGCGCTGTGATACCTCAAGCAATCAACTATGGTGAGTAGAAATAGATAGGTGTTACTTACTTGAGCTTTGGGTCTAGGTTGTATAGGAAGTTATTTAAAAATGCAAGGGTATGTGAATACTTTATTATTCCGAAGATACTCCTAGATCCCGTGCGTTATAAAAAAATGCCATATCATCTTGTTGGATGTTGTATATATAACCACATTTATATCCAATATCTATTATTTGTTTTGCATCACTAGTGAATATGCTTCATCTACAAACAGATCGGTACTTTCGTTACATTTTGGCGTGCAAATATCTATTTGATTGACCACAGAATTTGACTGACGAGCGTGATAGTATCGTGTACTTCTTTAGACCGCTCTCCACTCAGTGAGATAATTGGCTTGGATTACCTACCAAAACTTTTATTGGCTCAATACTACTTTTAAGCGAACTCTTATAGTGGTGGTTACCCAACAAGGAACCATCAAGTATAACAGTTATTATTTTATCTTTTAGTATACGAAATTTTGTGTAATGTTATATATGCCGTTTGATCTGGGTACTGCTGTTCGGCTCTTTCTAGTTATTGTTCGTTTTGAATATCATCGCATCTTGATTAAGCTCTTGTCACTACATAGGTGATATTGCCGACCATGGAGGGTGATAACAGACCCCAAGGGACAACTGGTTGTGGCTGGTCGTACATATGGGAAGGTTTTGTGTTGGCTCCTCATTTGGAAAAGGCTTACCACAAGATACAGAAATTCGTAGGGTAAAGTGTGACATTTTTGGGGTTAACCTTTTATCACCCCTTTCTTCCGTTGTGAGAAGGCAGTATTGCCGTAGATGCTGATTATCCGAGGGAAACATCCTACTGCTGTCACACTCCTCTACAATCAGCAGAACGATTTCACCCTTGGACCGTAAATTGCTGCTTTAAGTCCATCTCAAGCCGACCTACCGAGCATGGCAGGACCAAAAGGAACATGTGTCCCAGCCAATATAGCTCGGTTCAGTCATCACGGTAGACAAGTCCGACAACCACGTCAAGGTAGTAGATGCAGCCGGGTATGCTTTTCTCCTACGCAGATCTAAAGGAACGAATGGCTCACTATTTTACCCGACAACGTTGAAGCTTTTATGTGCCCACCACTCATTTCATCGTTTACTAGAAGAATGTGATATCTAAGCCCAGACCGATATTATTGAGTTTGCCTATGTTACCAGACTAACGGACTTGATGCAATGTAGTTGACAGGCCATTTAGTCTGTATAGACTTGCTCCGAAGTTACATCACTAATTATCCTGACTTGCCCTATCGAAGAAGTTAGACTCTAATTCTTTGTAGCAATCTTTGAAAAATATTTGTAGTCTTACCAGCAATATGTATTTTAAATGAGAAGAGTAGTAAATAGGTTTTTTAAGCGGCCATGATCAAGTTCAGATATTTGGATGGTGTTTTCGCATCAGCATTTATTACTTTCCATTATTTTTATCCACTGTTTAACGTTTAAGAATAAATCTAATGAGATAATGCACTCTCAGCTGGGATAAAATAAAAATCACCCTGTGGCTAAACTTATCGACCTTTTGTTGCCACAAGCCTGGGTGACTCAAAAGAGGGCTGAAATTTCACATATAAATACGGCGAGGTTATTTGTTTGTAGGTTTCATGTTTTTCTACTAGACGAGAGTTTGAAAGTGACAGACATTTTAAAAGAAACATTTCTACTGATGTATCATCTAGAATAGACGTTTATTGTCCAGTATTTTATGGTCAAATAATGCTTGTTCGTTCTCTTTTGGTGCTTTTAGCCCATGTCAATGGTAGCATGAATCATGAAGTCCGAATACGGTTTCTCTTGACATAGGTGTTCTTTTGCGACAATGAAAGCTTTGTCAATGGTTTAACAGTTGAGAAGACTTTGAAAATGGCTTTGTGAATCTAAACAATCGATAAAATCTTCAATGTCGTAAACACATATGGTGTGTATGCAAAGCATTCATTCACAGAGTAAGGGAAACCATAGTGAGAGTTGGGAATATGTGTTCTTCGTTTTCAAATATGTACTTGGTACTAAGACAAATCCATAAGGTGTGGGCCGTGTTAAGTAACCGTGAGAATGTCCTATTATGTGTCACTTATAGGTCTAAGCACTTTGACTGTCATTCAATTTTTCGAGTTAATTTATGTGCTAGTTTGTACACAATAGGGTATTTTAAGATGGCTCACAACTGTGAGTGACTTGTGAGGCTTATGGTTTGCGATCCGTTACGTCACATATTCTCCTTCTGGTGAAAAATGAAACTTAGCCACTGCGTTGCGAAAAACAACCACGCTGGATAAAATGGTTGAATATGTGGCAGATGTATTCTACAATAGAATCATCAGTGAAATAAGTAATCTGATGCAATCTGCATAAAGTAGGTGTGTAATTAAGTATTCGAATTCTGACTGCCCTCAAAATGACGTATTCTGTACGTACGTCGGAATGTGCTGCTGATAGGTTTGCAAACAGAAGGCAGTATTCTGACCTGACTTCTCGCAACTCAACGACAGATTGAATTAAGTGGGAAGCATCCTACAGTGTTGTGCTTTGATACAAATAATGGGACATAAAAAGTCACTTTCTAGACACATTTAAAATTATTAGTAAGTCGGTTGCTCATAAATTACAGGAGGTGGCAGCATGAGTCGCATGGAAATTTACTTGACAACTGTCCATATTCCTAGACGATCACAAGAGTTTCTAAATAATATGCAGCATTTTGAGTGAAAAGCAGATTATTCCAAACTCTTGGAGGTCTCTTAGCCACCAAAGGTTTGGAAAGAGTGAATACCTATCTGACGAAATCCATTAATAGATAGGTACGAACTCGGTTTTCCTGTGATACCTTAGTTCGACTACTTTTTATTGTCAGTCCCTAAAGTCACTGACAAATGTTAAATATCAACATAGAATTTCACCCCAAGTTTTATGACATAGACTAACAAACATTCTTAACCTTAAAAACGGCATTTTTACAGGTAAGTCGTGTTCAAGTCATCCACAATTACCAGATATTGTAGCAGTTGTTGGAAGACAGAAAAATTTAGTGTCTTGCTAAACATAAAGCGCTTACTTCTCTGAACAGCGGCTAACTCAATTATATGACCATAATTGGTAATACCTTTGAACTGGCTTTACGTATTGCGATAAAAACTTAGTAAAATAAACTGGGAACTATATACTAAAAGGTTCTCGTATTTGAAAGGTATATCGGCATTGTTAACGAGTCACGAGGCCAGTAATGGTCTTGTTGAATTATGGTCTACTATGATATTAGTACTGCTCTAATAATAGACCTAATCCTAAATTTGTAGATTCGTCATGATATAACTGCCTAATCTTTAAGATCTTACGTGGAAGTCACACCATCGACTACGCCAACTCACTGTATCGTATCAATTACCAATACATGATGAAGAACCAGCTTAGTTTAGAGAAGGAACAATATATTTAATATGAATAGAGACCACGCCTGCATGGCCGAGCCATGCCACTCGATCAACTCCAGACCATTCAATTCATTCTTCGCGCCTTCTCCATTGTTAGGTATTTCCCCGAGTTAAATATTGAATATCTATTTCCTGAGTAGTCTCGTGTTCACAGCTTTGTGGATTGTGTGGCTATTGTCCAATGCCACTACACTACTCTCCCACCAGAATCAACGTGATGTTGGTTCGATACCAAATTGGATGGGATCGTCGCGCGCCGGAGGTTACCAAGGATAATAAAGATCCTCCGGGTATTGATAAGCTGAAAGATAAATCAAAAAGAAGGCGGCAGCATCTGGTCGGGAAATACATGTAATAATTTTAAAATATCTGCCTTCATGCTTAAAACGCTTGAAATGAAAATTTGGGTGAAGATTATTTGAACTATAAAAAATGGGGTTACAATAATAATAATAATAAAACGATGCGTGTTAATAACTTAACTTATAGGTAGTAATTATTTTGTGTTTAGAAATATTAAAATAATGAATATTGTAGAAATGTTAATATTGGTATTAGTTTTGGTTTAAATTATGAAACCAATTAACAATTATGCTGGTAACCCGTCCATAAGTGATTTCCAATTGCATCTGTATTAGTAGGCTAACTGGGAGAACAAAAGTATACCGTGGAGAAGAATTCCAACTAGTGTTCCAGTTAGTTTGATACGGTTTATTTAGTTACGGGGAGATTTTCTCAACCTCATTTTTATTTGACCGTGATAGAATTTAGTAATACTACTAATACACATGAATGGTTATCAAAATAAAATTTAAATACATGAGTGATAATTATATGAATTTTGGACAGATAGCTAGGAACAAATCGCTAAACATGAGTGTGTTCGTAAGAGACATGCTCTAGACTCAATGTTCTGATCTGTGGCAGACTATTTATTTGTATTTATACTTGCCGGCTGATTGGGCATACAAGTTAGTTGCAAGTATGCAGTTTATTATAAGGCGGAATACGATTTAATTGAGATATAGTGGTTATAAGTTATTAAAATCAGTTAAGCCTATGGGTCATATTACGAAGTGATGTGGTGCTGCAAGATGTATTTAGCTAAATAACTTTTTACAAGATGATTAATAGTGAGTGATGCTCATGTGATTATCAGGGAGAACATAAGTTGTAACCAGGGGGAGTACACTCCCAACTCATGTCTATGATAATGACTTGAACCTTAGTCAGTGTTGGGGTAAATTCGACATTGATGTTTTCAGTTTGCAGGAGATTTGCTCGACTGCTTATACTGATTATTTGCATGCATGATTGTGTCGTTAAACCATCAATTAGACTGACAAGGTTTTGAGATATTTACTGAATGAGCAACTGATAGAGAAACATACTGTAATCATCTGTAGTGAATGAAGACAAAAGAAAAACACTAGTGATAATTATAAGTCGATTTGCTGACCGATTTTGTTAATAGTTTCATTAATTTTATCAATCATATTACGTGATTGTCAAGTCATGAC